GGGGGGGGGGCTGGTCTGCTCTGAGGCTGGGTCCTCTCCCCAGCAGTGCCCAAACTGAGCTTTGCCTCCTCCCCGCTGCCACCCTCCTCCCCCAGGTAAAGCTCCATCCCGCAGCACCTCCCGGCAATGCCCTTGGGAGCACCACCTATCCTTCTTGGTTGCCCCCCCCCGCCCCCCCCCGCAATTCCCTAGGTTCACATCTGCAATGATGCTTGCCGGGGGTAGGGAAGGAGGGAGTACCTGAAATTAAAATATGAAAGAAAAGTGAGAAGGGGGGGTGGGGGTGTGAGGAGAAAGAGGTGGGAGGAGCAGGGGGAGGAAGTGAGGGGAGTTTAGTTCTTAATGCCGCTCACCGCCGTCCTTCTCCGCAGGGACCCCAAAGTGCGTGTGGGGTTTGGAGGGCACGGGGTGGGGGAGCAGAAATACGCGGTGACGGGGGTGCTGGCCGTGGGGAGCCACTTACCTTCCTAGGGCGGGGGTGAACGAGAGACTGAGAAAGTGCTGGTAGAAAGGAGAGAGGACGAAGCTGAGGAGGGATGCAGGACCTCAAGGGGAGATGATGTGTCCTCTAAGCCAACGGCGGCGGCAGCAGCAGGGATGGAGACGCCCCCGATAGGGCCGGGACAGCAGCATGTGACCCAGAGCTGCGATGAGTCAGGATTTAGCAAAGCTTTGCAAACAGCACGTAGAGGATGGAGAGAGAAAGGGAGAGAGACGGAGAGGGGATAGACACAGGCAGACGAGGGCGAGAGCGCCAGGGAATAGGAGTGGGTGTGCAGGATAAACAATTCCAGTCACTCCAGGCTCATTAATTATTTTCATTCAAATCAGAAAATCTTGTAGGGGTTTGGGGAGCCGTAAATCGAACCACAGAACCTGTAACTCTTCCCTTTCCCCTTTTCCCCCTCGGGCCTATTGAGAATAGAGCATATGAGTGCAGTGACTGCAAAAACACTGCAGCACGTCAGGGCAGCTTCCAGGACCAGGGCGCGTAGCCCTCCTCTTTTCTCCAGGGGCAAAATGAGGTGAAGGTAGCTCTGGTACCCACAGCTCTCTTTCCCAGCCGCACATGCGGGGGAAGGCATCTCCGAATCTTGACTGGCGCTGGGAACCAGTGTTAAAAACAGGGGTCACTCAGTCACATCACCCTGGAGAGATCCTTCCATTTCCTGAAGAAGGAAAGAGGGAGAAGTTAAATGACTCCATGCCCGACTTCTTTTCCCCTTTCACCGCTCAGTTCTGCTAGTGGGGTCGGGAATGGCAGTAGGGTTGTGATGCTGACCATCACACCCAGGCTGCGAAGCTCGGCCTCTGTTGCAGGCTCCCCTGCCCTTGGGACCGACCTCCCTCAGCCTTCTCCTCACGTAATCTAGAGGAGGAGAGGCTTGATCAGCATGTTTGATCCTCTTTCCCTTCACTTCCTTCTCCTTCCCCCACCATGCTGTTCTCACCTTTTCTTCTTCCTGCCTTTTCTGACGGATTTTATTTGCCTCCGCCCGCTCATCTTGCTCAAATAATTCCTTGTCGAGGCGTTGCAGGTGTGGCAGCAGGACCAGGACCTCCAGCCGGTAATTGGGTTCATCAGAGCATGGATTGTCCAACAACACCAGTGCCTGCAGCATGGGGAGGACCTGCAGTTTCGCCACCTCCTGAAGGTTACTGATCTCATTGTTCCTGAAGAAGAAGAAGCACAGAGAGCAGGGGAGAGACACGTGTAAGTAGTGAGATGCCTTTGGAACAGTAAGCTGACAAGACAGACAAAGCTAAACTTAGCAGCATGATAGACCTTAGACCACAGACCTGTGATCTAAGATCCAGATCTGTCTGCAGCTCCCCAGACTGAGGGACAAAAAGGACATCTCCTCTGGATGGATTTCTCTGTGCTCAAACAGTCCATTGAATTGTGTGATATCGCCATTGCCCTGAATGGCAAATGCCGAGAAGTAAAGGGCACTTGCTGTCATGTCCAGGACACAGAGAACAACACACCTAGAGGCATCCAAAGGAGTTATGGCAGGGAATAAAAAGTATGAGGTGGGGTGTGAGAGTGACTGGAGAGGCAGATCTTTTCTGAGAAGCCCAGGAAAGGCCCTGGCTGTTACACTCCTAGGCAGCTGAGTGCCGAACACCAGTTAAGGACAGTAAAAATCAACCCGTCCCCATCAGGTCTTCAACTTCCAGAGAAACCAGAAAATCCTAAAGATCTAAATGGGAGTACAGCCTGATGAAGGGGCCTCTGGTCCCAACACAGAGCAGGGAGGACCCACCGTAGGTTGAGGTACTGCAGGCACTTCATGCTACTACAGAATCCATCCAGGGTCTCAAGCTGGTTGTCACGCAGGTGCAGAGCCGCCAGCTGCCCTAGTCCCTCAAGGCCTTCAAGGCTCCGAATGGCGTTCTGGGCCTGAGCATCAGGGGGCCAGGAAAAGAGAAGGAAAAAGGGGACACACAGGAGAGGAAACAGCAGTTATTTCTGGCCTTTAAAGCTCTTTCTAACCTTCAGACTCCCTATCACTCACAACACAGCCTTCTCTGAAGCTAGATCAAGATGCTCATGGTCTTGGCTAAATAGGTTCTAAGCGTTCAGATTCAAGGACCAAAAGAAGCATGGATCTGAGCCTGAAACAGGCGTATTTAAAAAAAAAGCCACCAGCCCCTCTCAGTCACGTAGTCCATGTAGTCCACGGATCTTCCAGTGTCAGCTGCTTCTCTTGTGGGGGAAATCTGCTACCAAGAAGTCTCTCTTTTACTCCTCTAAGAGCAGAACCAGGCTGTGTGTTCCTAAGAGAGGTTGCAGGGGGATGGGGGTTGTCGGTTGGTTTAATTTTAAGCTTTTCCAGATATAATTGTTGTTATCCACCCGCAGGTGTACCTTCTTGCAACAAATCTGACAACAATCGTACGGCAGGAAGAGCGTGTCCTATCGGTTCAAAATTCCCCACCATTGAATTTCATTCATTTCACTGTGATGTGAGTTATGAGACTGGGAAATACAAAGTGCTGAATTTCAGCAGTAGTTTCACAGCAGGATTTGGGCTGGAAAAGACCATTAGAGGTCTGCAGCCCAAGCCTGGGCTCACCGCAGTGCTAGCCCCAACGCTAGGTCCAGCTGCTCACCGCCTTGTGCAGCCAGGTTTGGAACATCCCTGGTAACTACAACCTCCCCGCCACATTCTGCAGCCTGGAGTTGAGCAGGGCTTCGCTTGCGGTTGTGGCTCAGGGCTGCAGTCTCTAAGGATGCAGATACCTGAACGGGAAACAGGGAGAGAGGTGTTGATGTGCTCTCTGTTCCTTGTTGGTACCCAGGCAGTGATGTGGCCAATGCCTGAGACTTAATAAAAGGGTCACAGGCTGAACTGGGGGGATAGGAGAACAGTTTAGGACTGAGTCACTCAGGAAAAGGACATTTTGTAGAAAAGGAGGACTCTAATGGAAACTGGACAAGGAAAAGCCTGGACCAGCTGGGCCAAGTAAAGAGGGTAACACAAGGACAAAAAGAGGAAAGTCGGAGATGTAGTGAAGGTCGTGTGAACAGATTTAACAACCAGGAAGGACTAGTAAATTGTACCTCAGAGGAAATCAGGAGCTGGTGTGAGAAATAGGGTGGGGAGCTTACAGACCGCTGCTCTGTAAAATGAATAGTAACCTCCCATCACTCTCACTTTCTTCATTACTTCAGCGTGAATAGTTTTAAAGGCTCTGGCCCTGCAAGCACTAACAGGGCAACGCAGAATGGATTCTTTTCAGGCTTGGTTTCCCCACCCCCCCTAAATCAAATAACATTCTGTATGCCACCTTTAATGAAATGATCACATTGTCACCTTATCTTAGATACCAGTTCTTCACATAGAAGTATTGCCACCATTTCTTATGGAAAGCTACTATAATATGTTCCCCATGGTTCCCTCTCCCCTTCCTGCACGCCTGGCCTTGCTCTAGCTAGCCTTTGTCACCACTGCTGCATGATGACCAGGAACTAACACAGCCCTACTGACAGCAGCGATCCTCAAACCGATACAAGTGCCACATGGTACGCAGCCAGCTCGTAGTCTTCCTGCTAGTAGGTGTAACTTTTTTAATGCTAAATTTCATCTGCAACTATGTCATACAAATTTGGTTCAGTTCCTTTAAATTTAACCCTTTGTCTCAAACCCCGTCCTTGAGGCATCAGCTACATCTTACCCATCAAGTAATACTAACATCTTTATAGAGAAAGCAAAGCACTACAGGGAGAGGTCCCCCTCCAAAATGATTTAGTGAGCAGGTGGACGTGAGAGACAAGTTCAAGCCCCAAAGATTCCTGAGAAATGAGTCAGTTGTTCTAGTTTTAATAATCACATCTTGCAATTTGCCTGCTTCATATGTGCAGCTCAGAAATTCCTCAGTCATGCCAGGAACCTACTCTAAATATAGGTGCTCTGTTTGCTTCCCTCCAATCATTCACTAACGTGACTGGTTTTACTTTGAAATTCTGTATTGTATCTAGTGACTTATCCACTTCATCCCTTCTTCCAGCACCTCTAGTCCTAAAATCTGTTTTCTACCAGAAAATTGCAGGCAATCTCAGCGAGCAATCTCCTCTGTGTTTTCTGCCAGGGAGTCTCGACGAAAAGAAACCATATAGCTTTTCAAAGCCTTTATCATCTTTAATTGCTTTTTAAGAGGCAGTGACTCAGGACACCCATGCAGTCTTCGCAAGCTGTAGCACTGTGTGATGCATAGGACTAAGCCATACATACTTTCTTCGCTTGCCTCTCTAGGAGTAAATGTTTCCTGAAGCAATTGTTGATGGTATTAGGAAATTGCTTCTCCTATCTTAGTTTCACTGCAATATTCAATCAGTTTCTTTTTTGGCAGCTGAAGGTGTGAATCATATAATTGTGCTGGATTTAAACCAGTATTTGATTAGGCTCATCAGGGAGGAGAAAGAGGCATCACGTCCCCCTGTCACCCAGGGCAAACCAGTTGCTTTCCCCACTGACCTCTGGGAGTCCAGTGACACACCGAATACAGGCTGGCCTAACACTGCCAGAAGAGAATACCGCTGTCCTGTAGGATGCTGGGAGGGTAGAACCAGACACACTGAACATTGCCAACTCCTCTGGTCTCTGCAGAGGAATTACTGGTCAGCGGCTACTTTGCACTATAGGGGCAGACAGCATAGAAGGAGCTACCCCAAAGAAGTGATTTTGTCTCTTTAGCGCTCTGAAATCTGTTCCTCTCTCGGCCTGAGATGATTGAACTGAACGGGCTAGCATGAAAATTATGCTGCTTTGAAGAGGACAGCATCTCCCTTCCTCCCACTGACTGGAGGTGCCAGGCTCTGCAGCAGCTCTGTCCCACTCCCCTAGCTGGCTGATCCCTTACCAGATAGAGGTTCTTGAGCTTGGGAAGATTGAGCCCTGCTGTGCTCTCTAGCATGTTTCCTCGCAGCTCCAGGATTTGCAGGCTGAACAATTGGCCGTGACTCAGGCCCAGCGCTGTCTGGATTTTATTTCCTGAGTGCCAGAGGAGGAAGAAACGAGAGAGTTAATCCCACCCAAAGAGAGTGTCCTATGGGCACAAGAATGAAGAGAGGTGGTCTACATCACCTTTCAGGCTGAGGTTGGCTAAGCGGGGGTGAGTAATGCCCTCCATATCCTTGATGCGGTTGTGAGCAAAGCTGATGATCTGGAGGTAGGGCAGCTCCTGCATGCAGGCACTGGCAAGCAGGTTCCCATCCACCTTCAGCCAAAGCAGGTGGGTTAGGCCACTCAGTGGAGACAAATCTTGCAGCTTGTTCTCTGACAAATCCACGTACCGCAGGTGAATGAAGCATTCGAGGAGGCTGATGTCTGTCAAGCCCCTGTGGGAGAGAGGATGTGAATAAAACATCTCACATATTTCCCCCTGCTACCAGCTTTCAGTTTGCTCCTTGCCACTACTAGAGGGAGGGCATCCTCCTCTGCCACTTCCCTGCTGTCCTAGGAAGCCTTGCTGGAGAGAAGGAAGAAAAAGGCAGGCGTTAGGGAGAGGCAAAACAGTCTGTAAGCAAGGCTGAATGGTAAGATTGGAACTGCTTTCCTGGCACAGGGAGTACTGATTCCCATTGAACCGTATCTGTCAGGAGAGGGCAGAACCAGAGTAGAAAAGAGGATAAGTTTGAGGGGGTGGGTCTGTTAGACAGTAGTGGCAACACCAAGGACTGTGTGGAAGGACTTTCCTAGTGGGAAAAAGCTGGCTGAGATACCCGTGAGGCTGATGAAAGACACAGTCTTCCTGAGGCCTGTTAGTTAGATCTAGGGTTATGTGAGTGTACTGATGGGGCTGAGGCTCCAAAGCTGTCCCCAGGCCACTGCAGCACTGTACTTCCAAGTGCATGTCTTAAAGGTTAGCAGTTAACAGGAGAGATGCTTAATGGATATTTCTCAAAGTGACTGTGGGGAGGTCACCCTGTGCAGGTCCCCCTAGGAGACCACAGTCCAGAGCGGTGGGCAGGCTCCTCTCAGTCTAGGGGGACACTGACGTTCCCACTGGCGTGTCTGGCTACGGTGGAGGCAGTCCCCAGCTCAGGGCTGAGGATGGGCAAGCTATGCAGAGGCACAGACTGGAAGCCAGAGAGCCGGAGAACATGTCTCTCTGGAAACGCTCTGGCCCCACACAGCCGGTCACCAGTGGCCTTACCGCACAGCTGCTCGGTGGCTACATAGATGCCCCTGGGGAGGAGGAGGAGGCCTTCTCCTGGGGCGGGTGTTGCACACTCACTTGTTTGTGGCTTCCAGTTTCACATAGGCGTGGGCCAGGCCATTGCCGGTCTTACAGAGGAGAGAGAGGCCTTCCTTCAGGACCTCCTCCGTCAGGGGACAGGGGGCCAGCACCTGGGAGAGAAGGAGAGAGCACAACGCCAGCGCTGGCCTAACCACAGCCAGAGGGTGCGGAGGCCGCCTCCCTCACCTGTTCTTCCTCCTCCTCCTCCTCCTCTCCCTCCTCCTGAAGGCTGTCCTCGTCCCCCTCCGGCTCCTCGCCCTCCATCCCCACAGGCCCCGCCGAGGGAGCTCCCTCAGGCCCGGCGGCCGCGGCGCCCCGCTGCCATGGAAACCGAGGGGCGGGGGGAGGAGGAGGAGGCGGGGCCCGGCGCCGCTGCCATAGCAACCGCGCTGAGCGACAGCGCCGGGGCGGGGCGGGGCGGGGCGCTGTTGCTTCCCGCGCTGGGCAGCCGGGGTCGCTGCTTCAGCCTCAGGCGCGCAGGCCTCATCCTCTGGGCTTCCTGTGAGAGAGCCCTTCCCTCACCACGGTTGTCCTTGTCCCCCGACTCTGGGCCTTGCTGCGCCCTCATACGGGGTAAATATGAGAGCCAAAGTCTCGTCAGATCCGAGTAAACCACCTCCCCCCCAAAAAAACCCGAAAGAACCAACCCTGACTTTGGTATTTCACAGGCAGCGTTCCGGTTTGCACGTCCTGCCGCCAACGCTCGGCTTCCCACAGCAACGCGGGCGCCGCTGATTTGCCGCTCCTCGGCCCGTCCAAGCTCCCCGTGGTTTCTCTTTTGCATCATCCCGCCGGTCGCACTCCTCCCAGCTGAACGCTGGTGTTAGCTCGCTGCTCCGACTGCAACGGCTTGTCACTTTCGGTATTAAATTCCACGTGGAAAGCTCAGAGCGTGTCTCGCCTCCATCAGAAGCGCTTTGTGAGCCCACTCTACCTTCCCGAGCGCTCCCGGCCCTTCCTAGCTGGGTGACATCAGCAGTTGCTAGGAGTGTATCCAGAAAAATGAAGGATCATTTCGGTGGGAAGGGACCACTGGAGGTCGTCCTGTCCACCCCAAAGCTCAAAAACGGGGCTGGCTTCGAAGTCAGGCTGGGCTGCACAGGGTGCTGGTCACTCAGGTGGTGAACATCTCTGAGGATATTCCCTCTGGTAAACGTTTAATTAACACGTTGAGCAGAATTAGGCTCGGGCTCTGCATGAAACCCCCCACAACATGATTTCCCGGGTGCCCAGAAGCAGTTTTTGGGGTACGGTGTCCATATCTGCTGCGGGTGACGCCGCTTCAGCCCTCTCCTCCAGGCAGACGCCATCAGTGCCTGCCCGGCTTTGGGACCCGTGGGCCGGTGGGTGGCTGTGCCCCCGTCGGCTGCCGAGCAGAGCCGGGCGTTTACCGGCCGGGAATGCTGCTGGGAGCTGACGGCCGCCAGTGTTTTGCAGTTAGTGCCGAAGTCCAAGGCCCTACTCCCTTTCCCACTGGTGCACTTTGCTCCTTCGGAGGCCCCAGGGAACGTCAAGTGTTAGATAAGCTGGTCCAAGCTGAGCCATGATGTGGTTTTCCACTACAGCCCCTGCAAAAAAACCCAAACCCTCTACTCATAAAGCACTCTAGCTCCTCTTGCTTTTGCTTTCCAAGGCTTTAAGAAGCCCTTCAGCAAATCGGTGCTGGAGGAAAAGCAATGACATGCTTTTCTTCCCATCCCTTGTCCCTTTATGCTGAAGAACGGACTGGTAGAAGTCGTGTGTGCCTCTAGGCACATGTTTTATACGGTCTTACAACAGGAACATACGGCTCAATTGCCTTGGTTCTAGATGACCAAAGAACTTAGAAGAAACATTATATGAGGAAACCTGAATCATTAAAAGAAAGAAATTTTATGTAGGTTATATACTAAAAAAAAAAAAAAAGATCCCAAACCTAACTATACTGATCATTGAGGAGGTGATGTTCTACAAGCTCATCCGCGCACCCACAGAGGGGCACAGGGAGACGGCAGCGGGGGGACACCCCAAACAGCACCCTGCGGGCTGCTCCCAGGCCCACCCCAGGAGCCATCGGCCCACCAACGGCCCGTCTCCAGGAGCACAGGGGCACGATGGCCGTCGGGAACCCGAAATTAGAAAGGGACACCTTGTCCAGGCCCCTGCCAGGGCTGTCCCAGCCCCAGAGCACCTTTAGGGCTGGGGGGGGTCACTGCGTTCAGGGGACACACGACGGGACACAGGGGAAGAGCGTTTGGGCGTTGCACGGGACTCTTCAGGGGAAGAACCAAGGGCAGGGTTGAGGTGATCTGTGGGGGATCAAGTGTGGGAGAACAGAGGGATACGGGAATAAAAAGGGCCGGTTGCGTGTCAGTGGTTTGTGATGGTTTGGCCGTGCCCTGTGCCTGACCAGCGCAGCCCGTCCCGTCTTCTCGTTAAACTCCTTTCGCACTTCGGCCCGGGCGAGGGACTCTCGTTACCCCGTGCAGGGGGTCTGGGGGGGTCTGGGTGCCAGCGGCTGGGACCAGTGCCCACGGGGCAGCCCCTGGCGTGGGCGCAGGCGTGCGGGCGAGCGTGTAAGCGTGTGAGCGGCAGCGAGGGTGCAGCTGGGCCAGAGGAGATGGCTGCCGGGGGGACCGGGGGGGTCCCAGCAGCTGCAGAAGAGGCTGGGGGACCTGGGGGTCCCGGGGGGTGAGACCACCACGGAGGAGCTGGCTATGGGGGACCAGGGGGACTGAGAGACTGGGACTGAGGGGCAGCTGCTGGGCACTGCCCGAGCCCAGCTGCTGGAGAGACCCACGCTGTACATATGTGTGTGTACGTATTTATAAAAATAGACATATATATATATGCATGCTCACTAGCCAGAGGAGGGGGTGGGACGAGGCCACTGGTGCTGTGCTCGTGCGAGTGCTCTGTGTGGCCATCCGTGTATATATGTGGTGTATATGCATATTTGTGTGTGGGCGCCTACTGGGAATACAAGCTCAGCCTAGCTACGGGTTGGGGCTGAGGACATGGAGCCGCAGCAGCCTCTCTCGGGCTGTCGCATCTGGCACAATGCATTTTTCCCAACAGCAACCTGTTTAAGATCTAACCGCTACAATTCGCAGTGAGGATCTGGCAGTAGTTCCACTCCACAGAGCTGTGGTGCTGCCAGAAAGCAGACAAAAAGAAGAAAAACAAGATCTGGCATTCCTGCTGATGCAGAAATTGTTTTCCATGAGTTTATTCCTCATTAAACGAATGCTTTCATGCCTCTCTATTCTCCTCAAAGCAGCAAGATCAATGCTCAGTTCCCATCTGGTTTTTTTTTTCCTATGTAGGTCACTCTCCTGGGCTCTTGCCTAGCTCTGTGGGCAGGGCTGGGCAGGAGCTGGAACCAACAGTGGAGCTGCAGCCCATGGCTGATCCCTGTGAGTGATCCTGTCTACCCACCGCCGGCAGCCTTAGGCACAGTCCATGTCCTTATCGAGTCACCACTGCTCTGGTCATGCCCACCCCAATGCCTTGAGGCACCACACTACGGTCATGCCCCAGCAACCTCTCAGAAACACTTACTCTGGTAATACAAACCACAGAACCTTCAGGAATTTTTTTTTTTTTTTTTTTTTTTCTTTTCCTTTGAAGCATCCTCCTCTCCACACACCAAGAGCCAGTAGCTGTAATCTCTGTGCTGCAGCCAGGCTCTCCCTTCTCAGGCCATCTCACATCCTTCCGTTTGATGGGCTTGCTTCCATCACAAGAGATACCCCGCCATCCTGCTCCTACACCAGGCACCCACCACCCTGGGCTTCTTAACAGCAGTTACCCCACCGTGACCCATGGCTGCTTTCACCGCTATTTTAGGGCGGGCTGGCCCGCCACACTGGCAGCTTGCCCCAGGTCTGGTGGCAGCTCCTTCCCAAAAGGTTCCTGCTGAGGAACGGGCAGGGTGGGGGCCAGACTTCTGTTCCCAGCTGGGAAGGAGATACCGCCTGAAGGGCCAGGGACTCTCCTCTCCCTGTCCCTTCTTCCAGCAGCACTGTAACAGAGTAGGAGGACCCGCAGCATTAGCGCGTTTCCTGAGATTTTTCTCCTCCTTGGTCCCTCACCTCCTGCCTTTCATCCCTCAGGCAATGCTGGCAGGGCAATACACCAACAGCTGGAGCACCAGGGGAGGAATATGCCGCAACTGCAAAAACTACTGCAGACCAGAAACATGAAATGGGAGAGGATCTCTCAGCTCTGCATTAAGAGACCGAGTGCCCCTTTGCATGTCTGCTCCATACCAGAGCACTGCCTATAGGCTCCCACGGATATACTGCCTCACAGTCAAGCTCCTCCTTATGAGGCACTTCCTTTTTCACTACCCTAAAAATCTCCCAGCTGGTGCAGCAGTTGGGAAATAACATCCAGTCTTGCTTTCTCACCCATCAGCCCACAGCTGGAAGCAGCCAGCAAGCACAGCCTCAGCACATGGCCTAAAAACCTTCCTTGCATAGAGGGAGCTGCTCTGCTCCATCTTTAATGAGCAGCAAAGTCAGTTACCAGTCCTCACAGGCAAAGACTAGCGATGAGCACATTACCAAGCCTGCCTGCAAAGATCAGCTCACTAGCGGAATGGCCAGGTGCTCCAGCAGCCACTGGAATAGATGCACACAAATCATTCTGGGGCCCAAAGAGGAGCTGTAACAGGAGAGGAGCAAGATGCTCAGGGCATGCTGCAGGTAAAACCTATGATAGCAAGATACAGGTTGAACCTGTGCAATGCCTACCAGGGCAACAGTGGGCCCTCAAAAAAACCAAACAACCAAAAAAAAATACCCAAACCAAACCACCCCACACTATCCTCTCTGCAACCAGCTACCTCCAGAAGCAGCAAATTCCGTACTCTGCTTTTCCCCAGCTGCTTCTGAATAAGATCCAGGACACACCTTTGCTTTTTTTCATTTATTGTTCAGTACGGGAAACAGGTGAGGTAAGACATCTCACAAGGGTCTAAGCTGACAGGCTCCTTGCTGACGGAGCTGAGGGATGTAAGAGAGTGTAGTTCCTTTTTCCTTCCCCCAGCACCAGTGGCCCCCTCTCCCTGCAGCACTGCAGAGAAAGGGGGAGGCACTGGCCAGGTTGACTGTGGGCTCTTACAGGTCAAGAGGCGACCAAGGATTTTGCCAATTCAGAGAGGAGGCTGTCAAGGCTCTGCCAAGACAGGCTCCCACTAACAGGACTCCAACATGGTGGTGGGGGTTAGCAGCACAGCTAGAACAATGACCGTGGAGGGGGAAAGCCTCAGAGGAGGCCTC